AGGTCAGGCTGTCCACTTTTTGGCAGTCTTGTCTCTCTTTTCTGCTGCACATTCTCTATATAGTCTTACGTCTCCAGCAGCTTAGAAAGTCAGAGTGATTTTAAAATGCAGATGTACTGTTGAGAATGAATTATACAGAGAGGAGCTTGGAGTATCCATTAGAAGAAGACAGAGGCGAGGCAACCGCTGTGAATAATTCACCCAGCCCGCACACCACTGCTGTTTATTGTCATGGAAGTGCCAGACAGACAGTGAGAGTGTGTAAAAATAGATACTGAGTCTGGTGAGTCCTTTGAAGCCATTTCCACCATATTGAGCGATGTCAGCACCCCCACAGTACATATCGAAATGTATATTTTTCAGCTGAGTGCATTCACTTTGAAAGTTGTCACGAGTGAGTGACAGGGCTTTGGGGAATTCTTTTGGTGTGTCCTGAAAAATTATGAATAATAAAACATTACTATCATCTGTCTTCTGTAGGTGTTGAAGTGATTCACAATAATAGGTATGTTTTCTCTTTCTTCTGACAGTAATACTCCTACCTCTCTGTTTTTTTGGGTGTGTGTGGCAGTCTGAAGCCAGACCAGTATCTTTGTTTGCAGACAGAAACTATCGAGAGAGTTTCAAAGGTCCCATTTGCTTGCTCCTACTGGGGCCCCAGTGACAAAACTGGAATCTGAGTGGCAGATTACAGTTTACAGTTTTTAAAAAATAGAAAACTGATCTTGCCTTTCACTTACAGAGTATTTATTGTGAAATCAAAGACCATCTTTCCTCTTAAGATCTACTTTTATACCTGCTTTTATATATTGAGGACATTTAAAAGTTGCCGTTGGTAACTTTTAGAAAAACTTTTTTCATATTTGCTAAAACTGTCACTATATCAACACAGCACTAAATGAGAAATATAATCCATGAAAAAAAAAAACATACTCCTCTGCCTTGTCTGTTTCTAACGGCAATACTGCATGTGAACGAAAACAACCAATCGGAACCAAAGAGTCTCTAACCCAGCCGTCAATCACTCAGTAAACTGCTGTAAAACTGTCAAACTAGGCAGCGCTGATTATATGAATCAAAATTCTGTAACTGCATTGGCTGTTCCTCATCTCAGATGTTTTCAGAAACATATTTTAGTGTACTGTTTAGCTGCAAAATGAGAAAGTTTGTGACCCGGCTGCCATGTTGGATACAGTTAAACAGAGTTACAACTTTCTCTTTTTGCAACTTAAAGGAAATGGCCACTTTAGAATGAAAATACAGACAGTGCTTACTCATCCTCATGCCGACAAGAAGTCCAGTGTAGTTTTTTAATCTACACAACTCGTTTGAGGTATTGGAGGATAACAGCCAGCCGGCTCGTCTGTCGTAATCCAAGTACCCTGAAGCCGCGGCATGCAAAATTGACTTTGACTACAGTTAAGGGACTAATAGTACAATAATTTGACGCACGAGACTCGAGAACTAGCCGCACCACTAGCCATCAGCTAGTCTCACGTGAGTTGCCACATAAACACAGTAATGATGGTATGAAAGTGGAGTAAATTACGTCTTTTCAAGTCAATTTTGCATGCCGCGGCTTCAGGGCACTTGGATTACTATGGACGAGCCGTTCTGCCGTTTTTGAAATGCATTAGCGGAGTTTTATTACATTTTCAAAATGTGGGTTCCGTGCACTTCAAGTGTATGGAAAAATCCGGCTAGCTGTTATCCTCCGATACCCCGAATGAGTTTTGTGGATTAAAAAACTACACTGGACTTCTTGTCGGCATGAGGGTCAGTAAGTGCTGCCTGTATTTTCATTCTAAAGTGGCCATTTCCTTTAACAGTACAGTAGTTGTTACTCTGTTTAACTGTATCCAATATGGCGGCCAAGTCACAAACTTTCTCATTTTACAGCTAAACAGTACACTAAAATATGTTTCTTAAAACATCTGAGGAGAGAAATAGGAAACGCAGTAACAGAACCTGATTCATATTTGATCAGCGTTGCCTAGTGTGGCAGTTTAACCACAGCTCATGGAGCGATTGATATGATTGACAGCTGCGTTAAAGACTCCCTGGCTCTGATTGGATTGGTTGTTGACTGACCATGCCATGGCCTGACTACATTAGACCAGTGGTTCCTAACTGCTTGGTTGGGGTCCAAAATTGGGTCATGGGTCCATTCTGAATGGACCACAAGTGATTTGTGAATGTGTCAAGTTTGTAAAAAACACACTTAATTTTGAAGTACAGGGAATTTCTGGTACAGCGCTTTTATTTTGAAGTGCCACAGTGAGCAAATAATGGACAGCTACTTAACAGAGAAGAGCTGCGTCCTGTCCACCCTGCTATACGGCTCAGAATGTTGGAGAACGACAGAAAATGATCTCCACAAACTGTCAGCCTATCACACCAAAAGCCTACGGAAGATACTGAGAATATTCTGGTCTCAAACCATATCCAACCAGCATCTTCTCAGCCTGTGTAAGCAGGAAAATATGGCTACCATCCTTATGAGAAGGCTTTGGAAATGGATTGGTTATGTCATCTGTAGAGAGCAGGACAACATCACCCGAACTGCCCTTCACTGGACACCAGATGGTAAACGTAAAAGAGGCCGACCCAAGAACACCTGGCGCAGGACGGTGGAAGGAGAGCTGAAGGCCCTGCATCACACCTGGGGTTCCGTAAAGACGCTGGTCCAGAGCAGACAGGAGTGGAGATCCTTTGTTGCTGCCCTACATGCCAGCCGGCATAAAGGGCAGTAAGTAAGTAAGTAGTACTCAACAGAGACAGCAAACTAGCTCCACAGTATGGCCGAACACAAGGATGATGCTGAATATATAAAACTGTGTGGACCTTGAACTAATGACGGAGGAGAAATCTGGACCCTGTGGCTGGACCAGTTGGAAACCACTGCATTAGACTGTCTAATTTACTTCTTTTTACAATATAGTGACAGTTTCAGCAAATGTTGCACTTATTTTCATATAAGTTACCATCTGTAGCTTTAATGTATGTGGGATTACTAGCTGTCAAATGTATTTTTTTGATGAGTACATATTCTAACTTTGCAGGAATGTGAAACAAGTCACCAGTGGGTCAGCTGTGGAAGAGCGAGTCGTCCACCAATCTGAAGATCAGCGGATCAATCCAAGGCTCCTCTAGTCTGCATGTAAAGTATCCTCTATAATACTGAACCCCAAATTGCTCCTGATTCACCCAACTGTATACACCTATTGAGTGCATGTGAATGAATAGGTGAGCAGGTGGCACCTTGCATGGTAGCCTTGGCCACCAGTGTATGAAAGTGTGTGTGAATGGGTGGTGTAAAAGTGCTTTGAGTGGTTGGAGGACTAGAAAGGCACTAGACAAATGTAAGTCCATTTACCATTCACCACTGGGCATCTGGGCCGAGCATCAAAGCAGCTGGGACTGGTTCTGGCGTTATGTAAGATTAATTGTGGAAACTGAAGTCACCGTCTTTGTGTCTTTTATAAATGTTTATATTGTGTTGCTCACCAGTGTCTCCAGGAGGACTCCGCTATAAGAATGTATCAGTGCTCAGTCAGACGGGCAGCCCTGCTCATTTCCAGGCTCTGGCTGGATCCCATCGCCTGGACACTTGCGTCACTCTGTCTCAGTCTCCTCTCTCTCTATTCTACTGCGGTAATTTTAGTCCTGACGTTGGCCTGTTAAAATGAATCCTCTGACGCTGCTAGAAGGGTGGTGAGGTGAGGAGGGGGTAGATACGGTACAAATACACACTTAAGTCTCTAAAGTCCAGCCACTTCTCGGCTGGAGAAAAGAAGCAGAAAGTTTGGCGTAAAGGAGCTGGTTTCACCCAAACCTCAGTTTAAAGGAGGAAAAGAGGAGGACATGCTGGCTTATCAGGGGCACTGTCACATGACTTTCTCACAGGTAGGTGACTCACCCACTAGATCAGAGGAGGCTTGTTGTTTGTGTTTTGCTGATACACCATTAACCAATGCTGATCTTTGATGACAGGGAAGCAAATTGATACTGATCTTCCTTAATTTTGACGAATTAATTCACCTGATGTGGCGTGTGTGTGTTTCTGCATGTTAAGGATCAAAAGTAGCCAAGCTGGGCCGCTGTTCAGCATCCATGAACTCTTCCATGAATCATCAGTATTTTATTCCCAGCAGAACTTTGCTCTACTTTAGCCCAGACATCATCCAATTCGACTATCTCCCCCAACCCAAACATACACACAGGTTCAATCTATCCTCCCACGCATCTGCACTCTGACTCGGTCACCAGGTTGACTTTTGACGTCATTGCCACCAGCAGCTCTGTCCGAAGGTCCCTGTGGATATAAAGTAACCTCTCATATCCCGTAATACAACATTCTTCTCCAGGTCCTGTTCTTAGGAAAAAACGTCTGTGAGTGGGTAGGCCTTACATTCCTTTTGTGGCTTTGCACTACTCTGTCTTTTGCTTTCCTTCTCCTGCTCTCATTCCCCTCTTCCTCCCTCTGTTTCTTATGCTTTTTCAAGACATTCCAGATGTGGGCTAGCATTACTCTGTAGCAGTTGTTCTCTACCTCTGGCTACAAATGATAACATCGACTGTACGAGCTGTACAGTACCACTGACTGCTGGCTGGGTCCTTCGCTGCTTCCCTACTACTTTTCCATTTGACAAGACAGACTTTATGACAGGCACTGCTGCTCTGGGATCGCTACCCTTCAGGATGTTGAGATTGCACTGACATTGTGGCTTTAAGATGGGCTTGATTGTTTTTTGGATAAGCTTTTAAGGGAAGCAGACAGTCCAAGGGTAAGACAGACAGGGCGAGCTGGATTCTTGTTCCTCTCGTGGAAAGATTTAAGAGTTTGGCTGCTGGAGACTTTGTTTGACTAGTCGGCTGAAGCCAGCTGAATGCAGGGAGGTTAATGCAAAAGTCTTTGCCTCAACCAGTATGATGAAAATGGTTCTTGTGTTTCACTTGTGGATTACCATTTATTAAACTGTTGGATATACTTGATAGACTATTGCTGGCACATGCAACATTTCCAGCCGGGAGTAAAACCATTACCGCAAATTGTCTCTGCTGCGGTGTGTCCACGTGTTTTTTATTTGGTAGTCTGGCCTTGCACTGATTTCAGGTGAAAGTTACATCACTGCCATCTGGAAATGATTATCACAAAGAAAGCACCTAAGTGATGTTCAGTTAGAAAACAAGTTTGATCATGCGGCGGCTCTGCCTGACTTCCTTCCAGATCATATCCCCTGCCTGGTTTCATCACTTTATGTAAAAAAAAAAAAAAAACAGCGCCTTAAAAGGTTGACGGAGAGAAACAGAGACACAGAGAGAGGGAGAAAGTGATTGAGGGAGTCGGGGGAGTTGAGCATTTCCTGTAATCACATCATGAAAGCGGCGATGTCATCCTCTTCCTGTTTTCTCTCGTGTCTCAGACACAGTCCAGGTGAGATGAACAGTGAGCACGATGGATCTCCTCTGTCTTTGCAGACACAGGGACATCACTCTGCTTCGTCTAAGCCTCACACTCTGTGTAAGATGTCTGAGGGAGATGTTACAGTGCTGCCATTCGGACCTTCATCTCTGGACTTGTCCAGGCAAGAGCACCAGACACTGACCAGGCTGTACAGCCAGAACGGAGGATATCACCTGAGGATTTTACCAGATGGAACTGTGAGCGGTGGCAGACAGGAAAATGATCCCTATGGTGAGGAAGGAATCTTTTTTTTTTTCTTTCTTCTTGTTGTGTGATTGGTTGTTGTGTCTCAGAATCAGGAGCAAAGTAAAAGACAAGAGGAGAGTCTGTTAGCTGTAACATTAAAGATGAAAATGAAACTGAGCAAATTCTGTTAATGTTACTCATATCTACTGTTTACTCTTTTGACTTTTAACACTTTAAATGACAGTTTTATCTTTTCTGATGATGATAAACAAAAGAGACGGGGTAAAATATGATAATATAAAGCACAATAAATGACTTAAAATGATAAGTGGACTTGATAAAATGGAAGAATATTAAGGCTCATGAGTGTGATAGTTTTGAAAATAACTGTTTACAGTCCTCTTGAGCAAGGTATTTAATTGCTGCACTTCTAGTAAAGCTGCTCACTGATTTGATCACTGTTAATATAATTACTTACCCTGTGTACACATTCAGACGACAGAGCCTGAAAAATGCCAGGCAAATATTTATTTCAGGAGAAAAATGATGGTGACATTATGTTTAAGTTAGTTTATTTTCCACTTCATCCTTGGAGAGGCATCAAAAAAGCCATGCGGCGGTGTTATGTTGAACAGGGTTGTATTTTTGTGCTGCAGACATCCTCAGGCTGAAGGCTGTGAGCGTGGGAGTGGTGGTCATCAAGGGCGAGATGACAGGGAGGTACCTGGCTATGAACAAAAATGGGCGCCTTTACGGATCGGTAAGTATTTACATTTTGGAGTTTGTCACAAAATTACTGCTGCCATGAAGTAAAGATGAGTAAAGATTAAATGTTACCTAACAGTTTGAAGAGCTGTTTCGTTGGGGCTGCTTTCGTCAAATTCCATAATAGTTATTAACGTTTTAGTACAAGTTCAGACTCACTCCTATAGTGCTGTAATAGCTAGGTTATTTCCACAAGTGCAAAATGCTGGAAAATCACAGCGCCAAAGGGTAGACTATAAATCACTGTGCGCAGTGATATATCATTGGTACAGATGAGTAAGCCATTAAGGAATTACAGATTTGTCACATGGATTCTTATTTCTATTATTCAGCACTATAGTCTGCTGTTCTGTTGCTGTGTGTGTGTATCCACACAACATTTAAAATGAATGGACGGGAAGAATTAGAAAACTTGCAATAAAACTTTTCTTCTCTTCTCTTCTCTTCTCTTCTCTTCTCTTCTCTTCTCTCTTTTATTTTCTTGTCTTAGCAAGCACTGAACGATGAGTGTTACTTCCTGGAGAAGTATGAAGAAAACCACTACAACACATATTGCTCTCAGAAGTACAACTGGTATGTTGGGCTGAAGAGGAACGGCCAACCCAAAGCAGGGCCGGACACCCACCAGGGTCAGAAGGCCATCTTTTTCCTGCCAAGACCTGTGGGTAACATGTAAAGCAAGACTGCACCAGGAACCATGGACACGCTCACATTAATGCACATTAATAGTGCATTCTCACACCGGGCAAAGGAACCTTATTAAAAGGTCACTCAAAATCAGTTCAGTAGGGTGGTAGACCCACGAGGCAAACACATAATGCTGTTTTTTTTTTTACAGTTAGTTCAAGCTGTATTTTAATGTTAATAACCTACATGTTTGTTTATTCCTCTTGGAATATGTGATTCCAGCTCATGTAAGCAGCTTACACTGTATATGATCACAGGGATATGAGCACATATATACCCTCCCACTGCAGACAAGAAAATGTGTGCGGTATCAGTGCATGTCAGCCTTGATAGATGGGTGTTGACTTTGAACCCTCGTATGAAATACCACTGCTGGAAGACAGCAACGGGCCGCTTTTACACAGAAATAGTTGTACAATTGATCACGTTTGGCACAAAGGAAACCAACAAGGCAGTAAACATAAAAGAGCCGACCATCTGGTGCTGAATTCAAAGTTAAGCAAACAAAGTCAACAGTGAAGGGACTAATAGTACAGTAATAAAATAAATATTTCGGTGCCTTGCTTAATGGTTCACTAAGGTGGGTGTTTGCTAACTTCTGAATTACTAGTAACTATTATTCTGCTCAAACTTGTTTGATGTCTGTTTCTGTAACCACAAGTGATCTATGTAGAGTGTCAGCAATGTAAAAGCAAGTTGTCAAGTTTGTTTTACTTTTGGCTGAGCTGTAATGTGAGCTAGCTCAGTGGTGCTAGGTGAGCTAGCAGTAGATGCACGCTTACTTCTGCCAGGTAATTTGGTTGGTAGGTGTAGTTCAGTGGAGTGTCTTGAGTAACCAGGTCATGACTTCTGAAAAGAGACATGAGTGTTGAGTTTGAGGTTTTTGTAGTGGTACTTTGAGCACCACAAGCCAAGTGCCATCTATTTCCATTACATTCGAGAGAAGGCAGACATCTCTGTGGCCGATATCTCCAACCCTCGACAACTCACACCAAAACAATCTAGATGAATAAATAGCACTACAGGTTAGAGGAAAAATATGAATTTTTGATTTTGGGGTGAACTGTACCTTTAAGTTTAAGTTTTTGGTTGAAAACAGCACCCTTGTTTATGATACAGTTAGCTGTGACGAGAGTGAAACATTTGTATGATTGTATAATTGTATTGTATGATCATTTTGCTGTTATGTGCCTCGGCCAGCTGAGGCAGATGTGAAAACGGAGCTTCATTAATCAATGAAGTTATTATTGAGTTGTATTTTTAAAGAAAAGGAGGAACCAGAGAATATTTAACATCTTGATTGCGCCAAATACTCGTGTAGATTATTATATTTTAGTTATGAGGAGGCAGTGACGGACCAAATATTGACCATTCTGTCCTGGACCATGGAAGTCACAAAAAGTTTCCTTTCACTTAGCAAAATGGCTTCTCACCCCAACAGCTCTTTCTGTAAACATATGTATTTCTGTTTAAACAAATGTTACTGTAACATTATACTAGGTTAAATAACTATTGTGAATATTTATTTATAAAGTTTTATTTCTAATAAAGTTTAATTTTGCTGAACTTTGCAATAGACATTTTCTGAATAATAATTTTTACATGCATAGTGAAAAAGGTAACCTTTTTACAAAGTAATACATATTGTATTAAGTGTACTGACATGTATGAAGTTTGCATCATAATCTGAGTTAATAGTATGTTTACTGTGACAATGATTATTGTTTATCCCAAAACATGGACATGTGAATAAAAGTGTATAACTGTGCATCTCTTTAAAGGAACATATTATGTCCAGTGTTCAATACTTCTGTTGCTGATCAGCTTGTTGTTTGTGTCTCTTCCTTGCACTGCATGTGAACATCTGTGTTTTTAACGAACTACACTCTTACAGGTGTTGACCAGAGACACATTCCTCCATGTGACACAAACACTAGAAATAATAATGTTTGGCCACAAGATGGCAGCATTGCTCCAGGGTTAGTGTTGTTACGCTCTGGCCGCTACAGAGGGCTTCAAAAGTCTCGGTTTATTATCATTACACACATGGGTCTTGCCGAATCCCAGTAAAAATAAATCATGAATGAAAAAAGGTAAATCCAAGAAACCACACAGTTGCTGCCAATAGCATGTGTTTATCCAGCTGTAGGTCCTGTATATGGGTTGTGACAGTTCAGGGAGCACACTACACAGCAAATCCTCCGTCATTAAATAAAGAATGTGTCGTGTAAATTAAATATCTGAAAAAGAATTACCAAGACAATTGTATTTATTTTAGGTAGGGGAAAATTTACCATGTGAGGTTTATTTTTAGAAATAGCATGCTTTTTTCTTTTGAGTATAAACACATTTTCTACAATAAACTTAGAATGACCAAATACAGTGTTTGACTTTCTTAATCCATGCAGCCATACAAAATCCTAATCCTAAATAAAATCCACTACAACATGAATAGAAATGCGATTTAATGTCAGATCTAAGAAACTAGACCATGAATCCGACCAAAAATTGAGTGCCAACCTCCAGTCTTTGACAGATTTTTGTTTACATTTTGAATACTTCAGCATGATGCAACCTTAAGAACTCTTTCTGAGAAGATTTCAGCCACGTTAACGCATCATTGTCCTTTCGGCAAAAGCCATCTGCACTAATTTCAGTGAAGACTTGCTGCTGTCCACTTGGAATCATTGCAGCCATAAAGTTGTGACAGATGATCGCAGGCGAACAGAAAAAGACCTCCATTCACCCCGATCAAGTATTTTCACCACATTTTTGGAAGCAATGGCATTCTTCATGTAATCCACACTTAATGTGTAACGGCTGAAACAGAACATGGCCTCAAACGCTGTTTCGGAGGCCGCTGTGCCAGGAAAAAGATCCTGGAGGAAACACTGGAACGTGGTTTAAGATGTTTGGGAGGACTGGAGCTGATTCATGGCTCCAACAAGTTCCATATTATTGTGGGATTTAAACCGAGTTGGCAGGGAACATTACAGTAGGATTATTACTTTTCCAAGAGTGTGACAAATTACTTTTTAAAATTGAGCAATAGTTGTGCATTTTCCAATTTAAGAGATTACTTTCTGATGACCCTTTGTAAATGTCACATCAGAGCTAGATTATCCTCCTTTCCGTCCCTATTTGTTTTTCTGATAATATTTCACTGACGTCTCTGCTGAAGATCTAAATTTAACATTCTCAGTTGACAGTGAAGTATTAGCACTATTTGACTACTTGACCTGCAACTTCTTCAGCTCGAGTATTGCCGTATGTATATCTGTGTTTTGTCTATCATGTCAGGAAAATATTGTACTTTTTACTACATTTATTTGACAGCTATAGTAATTCGGTATTTTGTAAGATACGACATAGTCCAGTAATGCGTCAATTCTTACAAGCTAACGACTCTTACACATTCGGGGGAAAAGTTAAAGTAACTAATTCTCAAACTTGAATTTTTTTAAGTTTGAGAAGAAACCAGTGAAGGCTCAAATAAAAACAAGCTGAAAAAGTGAGCTGTCCTCTTATCCAACGGTTTTTCATTGGGTCTGCAAAAAAAGGAAGGTCTGTCCAACTCAAGGACACTGACCGGACACATGGCTGTTGGTGGACAAACACTGATTCTTATGCAACCTGTGACCTCTCATTTACAGGACAGTCTCTCCCCTTCTTTCCAACAGGCCGCCCTATGAAGTAGCACAGCACACACACACACACACACACACACACACACACACACACACACACACACACAAACCTGCTTGGCCATTGGCCTGCAGGGCTGTGCAGGGCAGGAAGGGAATCATTCACTGTAAACTGAACAAGGACTGGCTTCCTCTGGGAGTCCCCTAGCCTGACAGCGGCCAAGATCCCTGCAACACAAACCACTCTAGCAAACACACACACACACACACACACACACACACAGATGAACGCGTACACACCCTGGATCTGGGACACATTCTCTCATCTGTTACTCCTCTCTCTTTCCTCAATTTCGTCTTTCTTTACGCTCCCTTCCTGCCTGTCTCTCAATTTCCAGCCTCCTTTAACCTCTGTCTCGTTCTTATTGCTTTCTCCTCATCGTTTTCTCCCAGCATTGCTTCTCTCTCTCTCTTTGTTCCGCTCTGCTAGCACTCTTCCTAATTTCTTACTGCCCTGTACCTTCCAATATATCATTTATTTTTGTCTTTTAAGTAACCACATCATATCAACTTTAATTTCTAATTTTTCAGTCCTTTTATTTGAGAAATTTCGTAATTTTAAGTTTCCATTGGACCCCGGACCCTTGCTTGGGAACTCCAACAACTTTTGAAAATGCACGATTAGACAGAAGCTGATTAGAATATCTTAAGCTGGAGATTTAGTTGCTTTGAACTACGTATTCATGTGCACATGATGGCTGTCCACGTACACTGTGTCTGTTTGGAGCATTTGTTGTGCACGCCCTTGGAAAATAATGCTGTACATTTACAAGATGCAGTATGCACATGAACAGTGGGGGCAGTGTAGGGCTTTGCAAATACCCATATCTGTCATCCGTCACGTGTCATTGCCGCTGCACTGTGAAAAACCTACTATCTCAATGGCGCTGCTGTTGCTTTTTCTGTTAGGATCTCAAAATTAAGAATATAACGACCTCCTCTATGTGTCCATGTTTATTGGTAACATCATGCAAAACCTGAAGATCAATACGGCCTTAGTTCTCTGGTGTGCCCTCTGGCTAAGTCCCTCAATAACATGCAGAGAACATAGTCAAGCATGTGAACAGTTCTGTTCATGACATAGCTTGTTTTCGGTGCAAAGCCGAGGCTGTAAAGCAAGTAAATATACAGCCTTCATCTTCTTCATCTATCCCAACAATGTCGGTATAAAGACATACTATGCAATGTGTCTTTAAAGCAAAGGCTTTATTTAAATAACCTCATCCACCACTGGACAAAATCTTACTTAATAATGACCCGTTTCTTTGGACACTGAATCCCTGTGGCTGCTGCACTCTGCCCCTCTGCGCTCCTCCTTTGCTCTCATCCTGTTCTGGTGGCCTCATCAAGAAAACTGAGATGCTTTGTCAACATTACTGTATGCATGCTATTGCCTTCACCTTTCTCCTCCACACAAGCAACCACACAAACACGCACACACACACATCGACAGGAAAGGAAACAGGGATGCATATCCGTCAGCTGATCCAACTGGAAATGCTGACACCGGTCTCCCCATCTGCTACTGCTCTCTGAGACAAGAGGGGAGGAAGGGAGATAGAGGGGGAGAAAACGGGGGGACAGAGAGAGCGAGCAGGAGCATTTTGACAACCCAGAGAATTGCCCGGATGCTTGTGGTTGGCCCTACAGCAACTGTTTTCCTAATAGACGATTTGTGCTGGATAGACACATTCTGCGGGGGCTCCAAACATGCAGCTTTCCCTCAGAGTGGGAGCGAATGGCATTTGTCAACCGATGGACCCTTTAGGATTTAGCCACAGAATCCAGTGAAGGGAAACTGACACAGTCGTTTCTGGGCTGACAGAAAAAAGAGGAGCTTTTACTGTTAAAAAAAAAAAAGAGTCCTGAGAGATTTATGCGTGCTACATGTTTGACCTTCTTCACATGGCACTCATTTAGGTCGTCTCTCTGCTATTTCACGGTGGCGTGTGACCGGCTTGCAAGTATGAAAGCTGAGAGCTGCTGCACTGTTTTGGCGAAACAAAGCAAAACAAAACAATGAGCCAAAAGCGACTGAGCGCTTGTTCAGTGCAGCTTTAAGTCTCCAATGTGCTTAAGGGTTGAGTTCATCAAAGCTGCCACATTAGATGTTTTATCCACTTACTGACAGGCAGCGGTGTGCTTGTAACTGAAGTAGTGGGTATGCCAGTGGCGTGGTTAGGGTAATTTTTTTCAGTCATTTAGCCCTGGATGTTTTGGTTAGAGTATGTGCAGGCAGGGGCCACGGAAGATGGAGGACGGATATAAAGGAGCCAGCACAAGGAAAGGTTTATTGATCAGCACCGGCAACTATTTTGACTACTGCTAATGTGTTAAAAATGTGTTAAGCTCCGGGGAACGGCTGATCGGTTGTAGCCAGACTAGCCATTTTGCCCCATTTTAAAATAGTGTTTCCATCCACATGAGTGTTCTAGCATTGTTTTCTATGGAGGAGAACAGCACTGACAACAAATAAGACTAATATTTGATTATAAAGCAGTCACATAGATTGGGAGTTGGTGCAAATATGGCGACATATTAGAGTGGTACTGGAAGCATTAGTAAAGAGCAGGGTGAGCTGGACCAGTTTTATTTGAGACATCTTTAAAGTGAGGGCATGACAGTAATGTTTCCAACTAAAATATATACATATATCAGGATGTGGTGCATCATTCAGAATAATCACTTTAGATCTAAAATAAACAGCTCATAACGTATGACTTCCAAAAAAGAAGTGGTCTCTTGGCTCAGCTTACCTCCGGTGAGGGGTAAGTTGAGCCCAGGGAGAGGATAAGTTAAGCCACATGGGGATACTCCCACTTGCTTCATATCCATGTATCACTTTAAAGTTGTTCTGTCGACTCTGCGACCTGATGTACGGACTTCCCCTCTGTACCTCTCATACTCCTCCAACAAGAGGAGTTGAAGTTGTGTCCGTTTTCCGTTTATAGAAGCGTGACATGATGGTTTTGGTCTAAATTTTAAAATGTCACATCATGTATGTGATAAAAAGAATACAATGTAGAATGACAGTAAAATAATATGTTGATAATCACCCTCAGTAGGCCACTGGTTCAACT